TATTCATATATTCCTATAAGAGTAATGTTATTTCCAGGGATTTGGGTCTCCACATGACGTGACGGCGTCGTGGACTGGTACTGAGGTGTATGTCGGTGACATTGGCAAGAACAGACCGTGGAAGTTCCAACGTTAGGAATCTGTTACCATCGACACTCCGGCTGTCTGTTACTGCGAGCAAGCTTATCATCCTTGTAAACAACGATGTCTATATTGTAACGGCCATTATTTATATTCTGGAATTTTTTTTTTGATTATTCTGTCACAATACCATTAGCATCTTATCTTGGTGGTTTCAGAATTTGCCAACCTGTAACAGTCATACCGTATGTTCATATTCCACTATACATACATACAATTTCACGTCAAGGTCACATCAAGGTCAGACGAAACCTGTAGATTACTGTGAAGCCATGTTACAATCGGTCATATAAGTGTTTATTTATTTATGAACCTGCGCAGCCATCCCCTGACACACATAACTCAAATGTCTACGCACTACAACTCCAACGCACTTGTCTCATATCATCTACCTCCATACTGCAAGCTGTCCCCCAAATGCTGTAGAAGTTATTCGTATGCTATCCGCATTTATCTGCGCTAAATGTATATTATATAAGAAAGGAAGTTGTTTTTAGGGGATCAGTTAGTATTTGTGTCGTTTCAAAAAAAGTTTACAGTCTATCATGTTATATAGCTCTAGTTAATATCATCCCAACCTTTGTCTTCAAAGGTTCTTAAAATGGGCGAGGTTGTCTATAATTATTCAGATGATTTAGAGGTCACCTTGAGGCATACCTCTTGAGCCTGTCTCACTTGGTGTTAGCAGTATGAAGATCTATTGTACTACAAAAAATCTAATTGGCTGATGTAATTAGGTCATGCCTGAAATTCCGAACGCTTTATGGGAATGACCGAAGGCTATTCGAGCCCCTATATCGTGTGAAGGATCCTAGACCATGAATCCGCGATATTTTTAAATTGCCGAATAAATGTGTATAAATATATGATGTACATAAATGTAAATTGCACGAAATGACTGCTTGTCTCGATGTCCAAAAATGTATTAAAATGTTTAAAAGTAGTTATGAAAGGTTTTCGTGAATTCGCCAATCCTCATAGCAACAGTATTTTGAAACAACTTCTCTGCGACTCTATCTTGCTATTTTCTGTATGCGACTATGTATTTATGTAGATCTCTTTATGTAAGGACTTGTTGCAGGTAGAATAGCGAGATACCTGGTGTATATACGCACATTTCGGATACATATATTAAATACAAGAAACCCGTGAAAAACATGCGAACAAAATATTGAACGAGTTGTCGAAAATCATTCGGTCTGCGCAAGAGAACGGAGCCGTTAGATTCTCGTGACAAAAAACCATTTTCATCAACGTATTAAAAAACCGCATGTTATGTTGAGTAGACACCAGCCAGGTATATCGCTATGTGGAACCTTTGTATACTTAATAGCAACACAACTGAACGAGGTGTGAGTGTCGCATTCGACGTATAAGCGCGTTTTAAGGCACAGTTAATATATAGTTATTCCCGTTGTTAGATACAATAAATGTATTGCCCATTAAATGGGCAGACACGCTTACATGCGCATGCCCACGCACACTAGCACGCGCGCACACCCTCACCCACGGACGCACACACGCACTCAGGCACGCACTCACACAAGCACGCGCGCACACCCACACCCACGGACGCACACACGCACTCAGGTACGCACTCACACGAGCACGCGCTCACGCACGACGGCAACGCTGCCCTTGAATAAGCAGCAGACGTTCTATCATTCATTCATCGCCTGAAGATGACTTTGAAACGCGATTTTCGTTCAGCATTCTGTGTGTAATCCCCTACTTAAGCCGCGATCACACGCGCAACACACGTGCTTAGCATGTCCGGATGTGACGTCTTCTCGTCTTAATTACTGTGAGCGTTGGAAATCTCTCTGTGAAGAACGCGACCTTCTTAAAACAAGAGGGCTTTGTTAGCGACTGTTTGCTGTGTAGAATCGCATTTACTGTTATGGCACGAGAGTATATGTATGTAAATATAATACAGCTTTATCCCTTCAAGCTTTCATGCGTTTTTTTAATCTTTATTTTAGTTATCTGTTTCGTCTATTCAGCACGTACGAAAAACCACAAATCGAAAACGCATTCTTTTCATTATTATTTTTTTCATCCACGTTTGACAACAAAACCACTTTGTACACCTATTATATGTATAGCTGAATGACAATACAGTACCTTCATATTAATATGTTATCATTGTTTTTGTAATTAGATTTATCTATGCTAGATCTTTTTTAACGGATGAACCACATTTACAATATACTTCACATTTAACCATGCACGATTAACGCTTGCCGAACACTCTAATGGTCTGGAATACTGCTACGGTTATATGCAACTAGTACAATACAATTTCTATGATATATATATATATATATATATATATATATATATATATATATATATATAT